CGAAATATCAATGAGCCCAATATAGAGAAACACTTAGATATCAAGGTCATTACATACATGGATAATACAACATTGCTGGCAGATAATCTAGAAGAAATACAAAGGATCCTGAACATCACCACAGAATTCTACAATCACAATGATATCACATTAACCCACTCAAATCACAGCTAATAATTATCAATGGACAATCAGAAGATTTCAGAAGAAGTTTCACACTCAAAGGAGGAACAGTCACAGAAGCAAGCTTGACACATCAATGAGACTATTAGGAATATGGCTGGACAGCTCCAGAAGAAAAGGATATCAGAAACAGTTTATAGTAGAGAAAGTAAAGAAAACCAGCAAGCTAATCAGATAGAAAGCAATCACTGACAAGCAAATGAAATACATAATAAACTATATACTCATGCCCAGTATAGAATACCTGCTAAATGACATGGTACTTCCTGAAAGTGACTGCAACTTCCTAATAGGGAAACTTGCAGCAAAGTACAAACACAAGTGTAGTCTTGCCAGCACAATCCCGAATACCCTCCTATACAATTATACTGAACACAACCTGAACCATCTATGGGACAGACAATTATAACTGTATATAAGAACCTGGTTGCAAAGAATGAAAGACAAAGGAACATTAGGACAAATCTCCAGGATGAGACTACAAAACTTACAAAACCTCTTTTGGTCGACAAACTTAGTAACATCATATCTCACACAGCCTTTCCTCAAAGCAGGACAAAACCTGAACCACAATATCCTCTAGGTGCTGAGGAAACACAGCTTCCAATTTCACTTCAATGCAAAGATCACTATTCTCCAGAATATAGACAAGATTGATGACACAATTGAAGAAGCAATACCAAAATCAGTATACTATCAGTATAGACAAATGCTAAGGAGACACAATTTAATGTTCATAGGACTTATCATCAATTCAACAGGAATACGACTACTATACTGAAGAGAACTTGGGGCCATAAATAAAACAAAGAAAAGAAATATACCAAAATGGTACAAAGAGATTGTAGAGAACCGTACAAACTCAGCCAGTACACAAGACAGATTAGAGAATGAGACAAGCACCCACTAAACATACAACCAAAGCAAACCCTTGGTAATGGAAAACTCATATAAATCACATTGAAGAGCAACACTTAAGCAAGACAAAGAAGTAATCAGCAAGAAGAAATGGAATGATAGTTTCAACACAGTAGTCTTCAAATACTACATCAGAATAGGAGAGCAATTACCACTAAAAAGATGTACCAGGTGTTTCCTAAATGAAGGGAAAGATATAGTATTAGGAATCTGCACCTTTGTAGCCAAGAAACAGCACACAATTCAAGTTCCAGTAGAAAGGACAAGTATCTCATCTAAGGGAAACAAAGGCAGCTCAACAAATGCTCTGCGATGCAGGATATCTCCAGATTTTATTAAGAAAGAGCTAAAAAACTTCATCAAAACTCCTCAGACAAATTCAAGCTCCTGGCAAGTTAACATAGGTAGTGCTGAACCAGAGACAACAAACATCAGTGAAATGTTTGAGATAAATAAAAAAGAATTAGATACCCTGACAACAACCCAACAACACATGAAAAACTGTCATCACACTGCAATATATACAGATGGCTCAGTATCAAGCTATGGCAACAGACCACACATAGGCCTGGGCTGGATCATAGAAGACGAGAAAGGAACACAACACACCTTCCAAGGACAGACACAGCTACATGCCTCTTTAACATAAGCAGAACTAATGGTCATAACCACAGCAATAAGCACGCTAAGCAGAAACACCACAGTTGACTTGCATACGAACAGCCAAGCAACTATAACAAACCTAACAGAAGCTATGGATACCACCAGAATTAAAAAGAGAAAAAAATCAAACCAGACAATAGTAGATATCTTCAATCATATCAGGCAACAGATGGACCTAGACATTAGATTACATAAGGTGAAAGCACACACAGGCGTCCTCCTCAATGAGAAAGCAGACAAGCTAGCCTGGATAGATTTCATTTCACCAGACATAAAACCAAACCAGAAAATCATCAACATCAGAAAACAGCACCAAGGACTGACACCAATAAACATAGTGTAGGATACATCACAGATAGATATCCCAGGCAAAGACCTAGTGAAGCAGGTCAACAAGGCCATTAGGTTGACCAAGTGAAAACTATTAAATAGAACACAAAACAGATTTACAAAAGAGGACTTGAGAAACATATACTGGAAATATACATTTAATAGCCTGCATCCATCCAAAATGAATGAAAATACAACATCGAAGGAAGATCACCACAGGAGGAAATTCAACTTTAACCTCTGGTATGAAGAACTGCCAACTAAAATCAAACTATACAACAGATATCCACTAATATACAAGAACGACAAATGCCATAAATGTGGCATAACAGAAGACTTTACACACTCCTTCCTATGCAACAACAATGCAGAAACTTTAAAGGAAAATTTCCACAGAATCCTAATTAAACATGCATCATCCCATATAATCAAGAAATACAGGAAAAGCTTCAAGGAGGTTATATATAGATGGATACAATTGACCAACCCCAGAATCTTCAACTTACTGATTTGTGGTGCAGTACTAAAGGAAATACCTGCAACACTTGACACAATTATATCAGGCAAAAACAAAGTAACAGAAACCATAATGAACACAATGAGGGAATGGAAGGAGCTTTTATACGATATATAAAAATAAAGATGTGAGGAAGCTCATGAACGCGAAGCCCCCAAAGTAGAACCAAACTGAACAAACAAAAAAGAACCAGAACAAAGAAAACCAAGAACTACACAAATTCGATCACAGTACAACAGTCCTTACTAAACTTGACTGGAATAGTAAATTGATACATAAATGAATACATTAAATATCAAACTAACATTTTCTCCATTATATCTTTTTATATGACAACTAGCATGGCCTTGGCATTTTAGTTTCTTCCCTCAAGGAAGGGCAACAGGCCATGAGGTAGCCATGGCTTATTGAGTTTTACTATTACTGAATATACATCCCTATATTATAGTTATAACTATTTAGTATAAATGTAATTTGGAAGAATAATAAAACAAGGCTGCAAATAAAAATGTACTTATGTTTTCAATTGATTAATAAACTGATGATTTAGTCTAGCTACAGGTACTCAAAAAATGATATTGATCTTCTTTTACAGTTTTACAAGATGTTTAATATCTCTTTTTGTTAATTTAGATAACCTATCAGATCTATAAATGACACCAGAAATATCTTCAATATAATTGTTTAATTATTTATTTTTTTTGATAGTACTTTTATATTTTTTAAGAATTTTACTTAAATTAAAGAATCTTAATTTTTGGAATAGTACAAACCTCAATAAAAGTAATTAATTAGTATAAAACACATTGAAAAAAAAAGTAAATAAGTTTCTATTGATTTTTTTATATATTCTAATAATATTATTAAGGATTGAAATAACTAATAGATATTTCAATTTTATTAATTACTTTAATTACATTAATTTACATTCTAGATCCATGAAATCAATAAGAATCAAATAAACTAATTTTCAATTGATTAAAAAGTTGGTGATTATAACATTAGAATAATACTCTTCTATTTTTCTATTCAAATTAAATTTAAGATCAAAATCATTTTTTGTTCTTATTAAATAAGAAAATTTTTGAATTTTAAACCATGGTTATCTTCAATTTTTTAAATATTGTTAAGAATATATTTTCTCAAAGTTGCAGAAGAATATTATAGTTAACAAGAATTTTTACCTTAATATAAATTTAAAATTCTTCGGATTAAAAGATGAAAGTAATATTAGAGAATCTAGTTTTTGAGACAATAGAAGATAAGCATCCTATAACTAGTTATGGCTATTGAAAAATACCTTACAAACACAATATGACTCGGTTTCTACTGGTTTTTTTAGGATTTAAATCCCATGAATAAAAATAAATATCTAAAGAAATTTGGGACAAGGTGTATTCATAGAAATAAAATTTTTATATACAATAGGTTTCTTTAGATAGTGCATTAGGAAAAAATTAAGATTAAATGCATCAGTTCAACTGTATTATGTATCATGCTGCTCGAATGAACATGTACTTATGGCGTATTCAATGGATAAATCAACTTCCAATTTAGCTGACTACTTTTAGATTGTTCGCAAAAAAAATTTTTTTTTTTTCAATTTCCTTTAAGAGCCTGTTTTTTTTTTTACTTATTTTGAGAACTCGAAATTTTATTTTTCCTTTTTCGCGTAACAACAAGATAGGGCTTTAATTTTATTAAAGTTTGCTTATAATTAAAATATTTTTACTCTTTATTTTGTCAATTATCAGAATTATTACAAATCTAAACGTTATACAACATTCCCTCTTTTTGATAAGGGTTATTTATAAAAAAAAAATTAATTTAAGAAGCTTGCAGCCTGTTCCCATAATACACTAATATCCCTAGAATTCTTCTCGTCATAAAATAATCTATGATCCGCAGGCCTGTATTTAAATTCCAGGACATCGGTTAAATTCTTCTGACTATATGCTTCTCGTATAGTGAATGTAAGACGCTTATTGGATTGAAAGTGGTAGGATGAGTTTACTTCCTCGAGTATTCCGTCGTCAAATATTTGACCGCCAGGGAATGAGGAAAACGATAAAGGCTGGTTGAGGAATCCGCCCACGGCGACAGTTTTGTATTGACCGATTTCCACGAGGTATTGTGAAACTAGTGCACAAGCTGATCCGCAATGACCATTTGTTAAAATAATTACGGAGTCTTTATTCCAGGGGAATTCGATTTTTTTCTCTAACTCCTTGGCTGCCCGATCCGATAAGAAATTATTAAACAATGCTGAATATCTATTGGTTGTGCCACCACGTGAGAGAATCCGGTTACCGATGAATTGATCCGCATTTGTAAAGGGTTTTTCGGTTTCAAAGGAATTCCAATTGCTTGCTTGATAAAACCCCCCAACTTTAGATTGACTTTCCTGTTGAATCGCCCGTTGAATTATCGGTGGAACTCTAATGTCGGTTGGGAATGCAATGTGTTTAGAAGGAATCAATAATCCGCTAAGGAAAATGGAATAAACGAGAGCTCCACCAGGATTATTTGAGAAATCTATCACAACCTGTAATTAAAAAAGAATAAGTCATGACGGTGTATGATTATAGAAAACTTTGTGCTGTTAATTATCAATACCTTTTTAACTTTTCTTTTTGCTAACTCCTGGAACGCCTCTTTATATTGGATTTCTAGAAAGGAATGAACACTTTTGAAGGAAAATGTTCCAACCTCGATTATTCCGAGATCCTTTCCTATAGTATAGGCACTCGCTGCTCCCGAATATACCGATTTGGCCTTTCCATAAGTGGAATTCAAGGCACTCTTCGGCTCTACAGGACTTGTGAGAAATAACGTTGAAGAACAGAATTGTTGAAAAGTTTTTGTGTCATTCCAATTTAAAAAGTTGCTTGTGGTAATATCCCATTTTCGCACTAGCTGAAATGGCTTTCGATTAGGGCACGTCAGGGAATAAGTGATCGACTCAGATTCGGGTAGATCGTTTCTCACAGAAAATAAGTTTGAAGTAGGAGCAATTTCTGTCCACCTTACGGAGACGAGTGCATCATTAAATCGAACTCCTAGATCTCTTGACGTGGACAACTGTGTTCGAGCGAACTCCGTTATAACTTGAAGAGCGGGTTTCGAATTTATCTGTGTCACCTCACAATTTACATTACTCCGATCAATCGTATCATCGAAAACTTTTATTAACTAAATTAATTAATTGCATTCATGTTAAAGATCTACAGTATAAAGGCCAAAATACGTATAGCATTTTAGTGTCCGTCACCTGTTTTCCGTTTTCAACAACGGAGTATAAATATATTTGTTGGTCAAAAATCACGTCATTTAAATAGCAACCAGCTAGAAAGTCCGTGTGACCGTCGCGTAGCTTCTTAATGGTAAGGCGCAAGTCTTTCTATTGTTTGAGAAAGATAAATAACCATAAGTAGAGAAAATAATAATAAAAGAATATGGTTTATTGATAAAGTCGAAGGCATACATTAAATTCAAAATCAGTGGTGTAATTTTTGTTATCGAGGAATGTGTCAAGAGTTTTTAGAATATCCATCGGCGTAAAGTCGAATCCGTTTTCCGGAGGTTCTTTAGACTGATCTGTGAAAATGTAGAAATCCTCGAACAATTCGTGTAACGTCATAAGTGCCTGTCAAAGGTAAAAGAAGTATGTAGTGTTTGATAAAGAAATACTAAATTTTAAAGAAAGTCAACTTGAAAATATACGTTATTCGCTATGCTGATATTAAACGGATTGCTCAGAAAACACGCTTTAACATCATCATATGATTTATTTTCTGTCTGCTTCTTGACGATGTTGACGCATGGGTCTGATACTGTTGGTGTAATGAAAAATGCCAGAGCAGCAAATGATAATGCATACTTCATCAAATTGATCATCGTGCAAATTTTTTTTTCCGATTCAAGATTTTAAAAAAAACGACGACGAGAAAACCTCGAGAAGCTCATTTTAACCCATACAGAAAAATGGTGCTTTCTCAAATAGTCACTATTCTTAATTAATCATCATGCACATTAATATTTTACAGCATTTTAGCTATTGCTAGTAAGGTTAATATGATTTTAAAAATGGAAGATATCCATTATACAAAATTTTGTTAAGAACGTGAACAGGAATTCTCATTATTATTAACTCATACCGAATGAAATTTATGCGTATTCTAAACGTAACAATTTTGCCATTAAGGTGAAGCGATTCAGTGAGTATATTAAACTTGCCTTTTTTATCTGAATCCCTCGCCAATCACTCTATTATTTCTTCATTTTGGACTGGTCTGTATATTTTTAACCCCCTACCGCGATTAGTCAATAAACTGTCGAATGATCCTACTAGTGAGTGGATCATTGAAATTCCGAGGATACGATTTTCTAGATTCGGACAGACACTACGTATCATATTATTTATAGTGCTACAGAGTAGTGTGGATGCGCGAATAAGGTTTATTTGCCGTTTGGGGGAATATGACCTGCTTGCATAAAATAATTCGCGTAAATCAAATATTTTGGAACATCAGATTGATTTGTATATCAGAAATATCAGAATAACAGGCTATAACTGACTTATATACAGTAAATGACTAGTCTTTTGTACAATTACTTCTGTGGAATAACTTAAATTCTTAAGTTGTCGTTTTTTGTCTAATCAAATTTTTATTCACCTCTTTTGATTTGCTTATTTCTCGTGTTGTCGTTGGTGCAATAGTAGTGAAAAATTTTTAATTATTTAGTTATATTATAACTGTGTATATTATTAGAAACCATAAATATAGCTTCAATTAACTAACCAAAAAATAAATATTAAATTAAAAACTCGCTAAAGGCTATAACCGAGTGAATTTTTTTTTATATTTTTTTTAACTCGAGGTATAAAAAATTGGTTCAAGGAATATGATGAATAGTTGATAATAAAATATTAATAATTTTTTTTTTTTTTTTTTTTTTTTTTTGTAGATATTTTTGAACTTCAATAGCTAATTACATCTATGCGACCTTTGTAAAATAATAGTATTTTTAAAAAAATAGCATAATATTTATCAAGTTCAATAAAATGCATACAAGATATATAAAGACTTTTTTTTCTAGAATAAAATTGCCACATTGATAAAAAAGACAATTCATTAGACAATAAATTCCTCTTTCCTTTGCGCTTTATGTAATCCATGGTACCAATCAAGTTACTTTCTACTATTTTCTAGAACCCTCTCACCTGAAAAAACATTAATAAAATCCTATACTAAATAAACTAAAGAGGAAAAAAATCAGAGCTAGGAGACAAGATATCCCAACATGACAATATTTAAAGCGCTGAGAAAAAAGCCTTACAACTTTGACTAAAGAAATCCTTATCAAGATCAATATTCTTTTTTTATTAATACACCTTTTATCATATACAAAATTTTCTTTATTATTTAATTTTATATAGTTTTTGTTTTTTTATAGTCTTACTGGATGGATAAACTTGCTATAATATAGATAAATATCCATAAATAAACAGATAAAAGATCTGAAGTACACATGTATTCAACATATTTCTTTATTCTTTGAAATTTATTTTAATATTCTTGGTTTTTGATAAAATGGCATTAATTACAAGATGAATATTTTTTTCAAAAATTATTTTAGTTTACTTTATTTAATAAACAATAAAGTATAGTTTTTTATAGTAAAAAAAAAAAGAAAGAAAAGAAAATTTAATCTTTTTTAATTTTTCCAAGTTTGAGTTTTAAATAAACTTTTGATATTAATATACAATTTAAAATATCAATATTTTAGACAATAAAAAAGATAAATATTTTCTAAAAATTAATTATCATAGTTAAAATTAAAAATTGGTATTAGATATTATTAAATAAACTATGTTACTTCTAATATAATTAAGCTGAATAAATTTTGCAATAATAAAAAGGTTATGAATATTATAAAAATAAATTAATAAAATTATTTTTATTAAAAATATAGCAGTTTTTTTTTTTTAATTGTTCAAATATTTTAAAATAAAGATAAAGAATGGTATATTAATAAAGAGTTATTTAAATAAAATTATGAGTAATACATACTGTATATATTAGTGAGGCTTTTCTATTGAGTTTTTATTTATTCATTAATACAGGCTTATGTATTTAAATTCAATTGCAAGTTCATATATTTATAAAAAAAAAAAACATTATAACTCAATATTCTACTACCAGAAACTCTGTAACTTGCTGTAGTTTATTTATATAGATGTTGGTGTATCAAAACTTTGCTAGCAATAATATTTATAGAAAAGAAAAAAAATAAAAAATAATTGTTACTTAGTGTATTTTCTGTAATGATGTTGGTTAACTCTATATATAATTTAGTAAATCAGTTTTTTAGTATTTTTTTTTAAATTTACTTGTGACTATATAAGGTCTAAATTTATTTCAAAGATCTTAATTACTTATATAGTTGATAAATTTAAAACTTGTATTATTAACTGCTAATTGTGGATATTGAACTTTTTATGTTTTCTTTATTGTTAAAGTCTATTAATTATGTTATTACCCATGGCCTTAATTTATAATTTTATTTAATCAAAACTATTTTTTTTTAATCCACCATCAGGTTGACACTGCTTTTCTTTATTGTGTATTTTAAAAATATTATATAATTTAAAAGATTTTTACATGACACCTCACCCATTTTAGAAGTTTAACTTATCTAGATGCAACTTAGGAAATGATATTTTATTCTCTTAATAACTTGGATTATCCTTTAGCTATCAAGTTCATTGCTTACAGGTAATCATTGTAAATCACTCAAAATTTTAAACAGCAGATTAAATACCTAATCACTTTCCCTCTTTCACTATTCATCTTTCAATAATCTTTTTGAGGTTTATACCTTTGAATTGTTCTTTATATAATATTTTGTTTAATGAAAAACTATTTTCTTCTACTAGATTTTTTGTATTTTCAAACTTTCACATTCATTGACATAGTCTTCCTATAGCTTTTTTTATAATAAATAGCTTTATCATGTAATATAGTTGGAAGAAGTCTTCAATATCTTTTATTTTGTCTTTATGCATACTATATATCTACATATTATTTCAAAAAGATTTTGTTCCTGTTGCTATATATCATTGAGCCATGTATCAACTACTTGATATATATCTTCTTGATCTTCATACTTAACCTCCACTTAATCAATAATATATTGAATCAACTTTCTACTTGCTTTTTTCCTGATATCTAGTCTTTTGAAGCTTGTTGCTAAATACAAGAACAGATTATTAGTTGTTTCTTCATAGGTTCCACATCTAATATAAATGGTTAATTTATAAACTTCTAGTTTTTGCTTCTTGAATATCTGTAATGTCAGAAGTTCGTTATGAGTAAGATTTGCCAAAAAGCTTTTGTTCTTGTTATTCTTGAAGAATGTATATAATATATAATGTATATTAAACTGATTTCAAAAAACTGTCCAGTTTATCTTGGTTTTCTCTTTACTTTATCTATTTTGAATCTGTCTTTAATTACTCCAATCAAAATTGATCTTTCTATGATTCCATTCTTTAATGAACTCCTGAATATCAATGTCAATAGTCAGACCTTTCTATATAGCTATAAAGAAGACTGTATCTATTTCTGGTGTGTATTGCCATTCTATTGTATTTTCTTTTCTGACTAATTTTACTAGTATATCTGCTATATTGTTGAAATAATATTCTTTATATGCATGGACCTTTTCTAGTGTTAAAGTAAGGCTTTTTTTCCTTAAATAGATTTCTTATCCTTGTTCAAAATGACCAGTTAGCAATTTTGATCCATTTTCTAAATGACATCAGTGATTGTAATTGTATGATATTCCATACTCTAATAGTTACTTTGCAATCTGTAGAGATAATAACATTAGCACCTTGAGATAGAGTATAAAGTATTGTCAATATTGCTAGTATTTCTATTCTTGCTGCTGAAGGCTATAATAGTCCTCCTACTTAGAATTGGTGAATGATAGTATTGTCTTGAGTCTGAATCCATCTTTTGTTTCTTTCTTAAAGGACCCATCAATGTAGAAAGTAAAGTTTTTATATCCATTGTTTTGATTAAATCTAAAAGCATCAATAGTTTCTCTAATATGTTTTTTTAAGCAAATGACCTGTTCTATTAATGAAATATACCAGTTTTCTATTATTATTTCTTTATATATTGTTGCTATATTCCAAGTGTCAAATCTATATTGTTTTGAGTTGTCAGGTATTCAATCTGTTAAATTGTCAGGAAGCAGTAGTGATTTTCTTATTAGTGTACTTTTAGACTTGTTGAGTTGAGACAGGAGATATGTTTTTGAAGGTGAAACTATTGTTATCAGCTTGAATAGATCTGGATGAAATAGGGTCGAATTATCAGTATAATTATAATTGAGCTGATATAGAATAAAAATTGTATTTCCTTGAGTTTTCTTGACTTTTCATATTATATTCTTGAATAGATTGATAGTGATTTTCCAGTAAATCTTTCTTTTATCCAATATATTCAATAATTGTTTTGTTCAAATTTCATAATTGTAACATTCTAAATTTCTGAGTGAGCTTCTGAGCAAATCCTGTTTTTCTGTGACCTGAGAAACAACTTACCTATACCATCTAGGAATATGACTTTTTCTATTTCCAAAAAATATTTGAACTGCTCCCTATTCTCTAATTGTTTCTGTAGTTGAGTTAATTAATTAATCCAAGAACATTATATTATATTTCTTAAGAAATACTATAGCTTTTTTATAATCATACTTCTTAAGAATTGCTTTAATAGAAAGTAAACCACCCTTGACTTGAAAAAGGTCTTTCTATCTCCAACTTTGATATGTAATTTAAAGTTTATTGGCAAGGGCCAAAATAATAGTAGTGAAGTTACCTT